CTCTTTTACTTTCTGATATTTTTTCATTGCACTTCTTTCTGCATGTGGTTGGACATGAAGGTTTTGGCTGTTTTTTATTATGCACTTTTCCATTTCTGCTGATATATTGTAAACCTCTGTTAACGTTCCTTTTTCTTATCTCATCTTTCCACTCCTTTGAAAAGCGTTCTCTCTGTCTTCCTTTGTCTTTTTTAGTGGCCGAAATGCGTTTGTGGCTTCGACAAGTTGGAGTTGTCATTGAAGAATCTGTGTCGTTATCATTAATAGTAGGTGTCGATGTCGATATAGGACTTTCAATAGACAGGGTATCATCGCACAAATGTATAGGATAAAAATCAGCGTAAGGTGATGGTATTGGAGTATCATCGTGTCTTTTTTCACAACTTGGTGATGTTAAATAAGTAGCTTGCATAATTCTTACTTCAGTACAGTTTTCATTGTTAGAAACTGGTGAAAATTCAGCAGCATCACTCGGAAAAATAGAAGAGTTTGATGGCAGATCTTGAAATAAGGTATCTGTGTCTTCCATAATATCAATGTCATCCAGAATTGATAACTGTTCTTGGGTGAAATTTGCACCTGGAGGTAAAGGTGAATCTGAAAAAAGCAATCAATATGCTTTATTATAAAAGAAAAACGAATATTGTAATGTATAGAAATTAATAGGAAATCATGTTACTACTCCTAACCATTTAGTACTCTTCGAGACATGGTCCTGATTCATGGACATTAACTAAGACACAAACCTATACAAAACAAATACAAAAAAGTTAGTTGGAAGTGCCGGTATTCAAACCCGGCAAATCTTGGTTGATAGGCAGAGCCTCCAGATGTCAAAATACGCATACTATCTAATCAGTTTTATGAGTCAAATACATAATTAGCCAAAAATATTCAACGTATACTGATCCATCTTCAGTTACACTAGTATACTTAGTCATGCTTTAAAACCTTAAATGTTTTTACTAAAAATTAATTATAACTATGTTTATGTGCTACATATATAACAATAATTTAACACTGCTTACCTCTTTCCGTTGCATTCTGGACAACATCACTAATTTCTAGAATATTTTCTTGTCCACTTTTACAATGGTCATATTTTTTAGTAACTAAATCAATAATTTTTCGAGATCTATTACTCATTTTCACTTTCCATTGAAGCACAACTTAAATTTAATGAAACAAATTGAAAAAAACAAGAAGTATTTAGTATTTTTCGAAATTACAGAATTGCACGCACGCACAGTGACGTATCGACGAATACTGAACTAGTTGCAACTTGCACCAATTTGGACATATTGGCGTCCGACGTATACTGGTATTTATTTACTTGACTCAGTTTACTATGTGTGAAATAACGAAACGATATAGTTGACTCAATGTACGTCATTTTATTTTCGGTTTTATTAGGAATTTGAATATTTTTTTTACAATGGTATATAGAAAATGGTTTGATTGTTATGAATATGTAAAAAAGTGCAAACCCCAAAATTTGTTAGTTGACTCGCGAAGTGTGGGCCTGCGGCGGGCGGCGCGCAACACGGAAGCAAAGGCGGAAGCGCGTGCGTTCAAAGGGGTTGTGCGCGGGCGACTGATGATGCCGACAAAATCAAAAACCGAGCAGACATCGTCGTCGGCGCATGCGCGCACATCCCCTGCGCCCGCGCCCTTGCTATCCCTGCTTGTTTCATTCATTGAATGTTTGTTCATTGAATTTCATGGTGATCGATGGATTGGACGCGGAGGCCCCATCGCCGGACCTAACACCGTGTAACTTTTATTTGTGGAGTGAAATTAAAAACGATTTAAAAGAAAATAAAAAAAGACGTGTGTATGTTGAGGAAGCACAAAGCCTCGAGGACTTAAAAGTGCAAATCAGAGCGGCATTTAACCAAGTGAAAAATGACACCATAGTGCTCGTAAAATTAAAAGACAATGTGCAGAAAAGGTACAAGACTGTTTGGAGAGGAACGGTATGCACTTTGAACAATTATTAAAGTATACGTAGGTAAATAGTTAAAGTAGGTAGGGTAAATTGATTAGTTGATTAACATACTCAAATTTGGAGAGTGGTTTTAAATGCTTCCTGTATAATGATAAATTGTTGCTAGGTGACAGTGGCTTTGCCCAGGCTAACTTTATAATGACACCTCTGTCAGAAAATAATGTGAATACACGAGGAGAGACACATTACCAAGAGTCACAATTAAAGGCAAGGAATGTGATTGAACGGGCATTTGGTATATGGAAGAGGTGATTCCCTATATTATCCAGGTGCATAAGTATTCATCTTTGACATCATAGCAACAGCTGTACTTCATAATTTAGCTATATTACAAAAGGAAAACATACCCCCTGAAGATCAAGAGTTTCCTGTTATAATGGAAGGTTAGGATGATCATGTTGCACCAGAAGGGTATGGAAGAGGAAGCGTTAATTATCAACGAAGACTACTAAAAGAAGGATACTTTGCATTTGCATAAATATTACAGCTCTGATTGTTTCTTTTTATTTCTAAATCCTTAAATAAAAGTTCTTTTTTGTACATTTATTCATTAAATTCCTTTTTTTCATTTGTTGTCTTACTTTTCTTAGTTGATAGTTCTTCAGTAGTTTTATTTTCTGGATTAAAAAAAAGTAGTTTAATATAATATTACTATAAGCCAATTGTGAATTCGCAAAAAAAGAATGAAACTGAAAGACTTGAAATATATAATTATAAATTATGGTGATAATGAATTACCCTTGTTTGACAGCACAGTTCCTTTCTTTCGTATCTCCATCTTATTAAATTTATCTCCAGCTCGAGATTGCAATGGTGTGCTTGGAGTAGAACCACCATCATTCTCAGTAATAACTAAAAATAAATATATGAAAAATATATATGTATTTAATAAATTACATTTTGTTACATGATTGGTTTTAAAATCAGTATAACAATCAAACACAAATGTATTTATGTTTTCAAGACTTTTCAAGTAATCTTCTTCGATGGGTGCAATTCGTTGTTCTTTAGGAAGACTCTCTTGAAATTGCTTCATGAGCGTGGCATCTCCATCATACATACTATAAGTCCATCCATTTGTGGCTCTATTAACTTTCTTACTGCATTAAGTGGGTTGTCATCATCTGAAGGAGGAGGGCTTCCACCTAAAAATAATAAGTTTAATTTGTTTACAGTTGTCTGTTTTGGACGAGAATGTGAATCTCACTCTCCGAAAGAATTAATTATAATAAAACACATATTAGACACGATATTTAATTACATCATAAGTAACCCTGTCCTTAATCACGACTAATCTTAATATACTTTAACAAATAGCTTGTAAATGAATATACTGGGAGGAACAAAATGACCGACACAGCCGAAAGTTTCAAGTTAGGTTACATGCAAACGTTCATTTTATTTGACAAATATTTAAAAATAGAGGAGGTGTAAAAATGGAGTAAAAATATTAAATTTCTCAGTGTTAACAGCCCTATAACGCGCATGCGCAATATCGATTGTGTGCAAATTACAACGAACCGCGAAATACATTAATTTAATTTGATTATTTACCGATATCTTAATGATAGTCGATGCTGAAAATGTCCACTTCCTCTCTGAAGACTGAGCTAAGCACGTTTTTTTCAATGCCGATGCATGCACGCGCAAACACATCACATTTCACACAAAACTAAACACAATCTTCACTAAACTAAACTTAACACTCAAGACGAACACTCTAGTATCTTATTAACAAAAATTCAATTAAAAATGCACTAGAACAAAACAAAAATCGTAAAAAAGACGCTTCGCAGCGGTGCGTCGGCGGCGATGCGCAACGACACTCCAGCACAAAAGGTCGACGGCGACTGATCGGCCGGAAAATATCGACAGAATAATGAAGCCGCCTGGCGGCTGGCGGGCGGGTGGGGCTTTGAATTGTACTACCTAATGTTAAAAAAGTAGATATAAATGTTAATATAAAAGATAAGAACATGGGCCTTGTGAATACCACAGTATTTTTAGGAATAACATTAGATTCTAAACTACAGTGGGGCCCACATATTGATAGATTGTCGAGTAGACTTAGCTCTGCAGCATATGCCGTAATGAAGATACGTAGGTTAACTGACATAGATACTGCCAGATTAGTATACTTCAGTTACTTTCATAGTGTTATGTCGTACGGTATCCTATTGTGGGGAAATGCTGCCGACATACAAACAATTTTTGTGCTTCAGAAAAGAGCAATTCGATCAATTTATAATCTTAGGATTAGGGACTCTTTAAGGGAGAAATTTAAGGAAATAGACATTATGACTGTTGCTTCTCAATACATATACGAGAACTTAATGTACGTTCGTAAAAATATTAGTTTGTTTTCTATAAAAAGTGATGTACACAATTTTAATACAAGAAATAAAAATAAATTAACGGTGCCTGTCACTAGACTGCAAAAAGTTAATAACTCTTTCAAGGGTCTTTGTGTGCGCTTCTACAATAAGGTCCCAAGCAAAATACAACAATTAGATATCATGCAGTTTAAATCTACTATTAAAAAATACTTATTAAAAAAGCTTATTATAAGGTATCCGATTATATAACAGATAAGAACGCTTGGACTCGAGATGATCCAGCAACTGGATAGGTGATTACTTCTAAACTCATTATCTTGTTTCCATTATTATTAAATGATTATGTTATTATTATAAGACCATTTTTTTTTATCTCTGTTTATAATGTATTGATCTGGTAATGACATGGTTTTTGTAAATGTCATTACTCATATTAGAGCTGGTGAGTTTCTTGCTCGTTCTTCTTATCAGCCAAAAGACGTCCTGAACGAGTGGTAGGGAAAAAATGTTGGACGATTCAAAAGTACTTTTAAGAAGTCTATTTGAATAAAGATTATTTTGACTTTGACTTTGACTTTGATATCGAGGGACGAACTCGATTCACATTTTTTTTGTCGTCTTTTGATATCACGCATTTTTTATTTTTCTTTTTAAATGCTATTTTAATAACAAATACCTCAATGATTTTAAAACAAAGTTCATTTGTGTTAATGATGAATCGCTGGAAGATTTGTGTTTTTATCGAGTTTAATTAACGATCCCGTTGTTAAAGGAGTATTACCCCATTCAAACAATTTTTTTGGAGAATTGCTCTTTTAAAATAACGTAGGTTAATATTAGACTGATCTCTCTACAATAATTTAGGAAATTTTACACTCGGTTTCTTAATTGAGAATTTAAATTTAAACGTCACATCACTTAGTTTTCGTTTCCGATTTTTAGTATTTGATGATCAGTTGATAGCAGTTCGATAAAGCTAGGACTATTTGACTTGTGAAATTAAAAAAACTTAGGTTATTGAGAATAAGCAGTAGAAATTTTCTACTTTTTTCAAATCAGAAACCGGCTGTTAGTCTGTAAATCGATTTAAGCATTTTGACTTCCTTGTTTATTGATTGTCTGGTAGAATTTGCATGAAAGCAGCCTTATAAATCACAAACTAGTTTATTTCGTTTTAAGAAACGAATAAGTCAATTACCGATTTAAAACTTTTCCTTAGGACGTCCCAAAAACAGCTGACTCAGGGTTGAAAACACTCATTATTTACAAAAACTTTGTAATATCTCCGAAACTATTTGACCTAGACTTGTAATTTTTTTTACATCATATTAAAGACAAATAGTACTCTCCAGGAACCTCGGGAGTTTCGGTCGTTCTGTTCCACCGAGTATATGCAACAATTACAATAAAGCAATACTTCGAATGTTTCTACATGATATACAGGGTGTCCACCAGCAGATTTTATACTATGCTAGGTAATAAAATAATAAATAATTACAAAATCAAACTTATTTATTAATTTTTGTACATAGCATTAGTGCGGATTTCAATTTTTAAAAATAACATAACGATGCCTTACTTTCTCAAACTCGTATCTTAAAAAAATATGATTTTGGCTTTTTGTTGTCTATCTAAAGCTATCGTTTTGCTTCATAACTGCAGCAAACTCTTATCTCAATACGCTGTACTAAACGTGTAATAAGCAATACCAAAAATATAGGTATCTCTCTCACACCCATTTCAGTAACTGCGTCAAACTCGTATCTTGAAATACGTGGTTGTGAAGCTAATCGTCATGCAGGAAGCTCCAGTTTTGTTTACCGCTTTCTTGAGATGCGATGTTGCCGCACTTATAGCATTGCGGGAAAAGTTTGAGATAGGATTAGATTTTTGAAACAATACTATTGATAACGCAGTTCTTAAGGTCCAATATTGACAGAAGGGTGGCTTTGTTTTATGAAGAACTTTCTAGAAATAATTTCAACCATTTTGGGAATAGCTAAACTACGAAGGTCATTTCGCTTCTTGCATTGCTGTTGTTATAATCGTGTGCTACAGTTACTTAAAAATTTGTGTAATGAAAAAATATGTTTCTGTTGAATTAATTTATCATATCACTATTTTAAATACATACATAATTATCTAGTAGTGAGCTTAGAATAATTATTTATAGTAAGAAATTGTGAGTAGCAGTGTGATTTTTGCCGGTAAGTAATGTTTGAATGTTTTCATGTGCCGTCGATATAACTTTTAAGGCTTCTTATCACAGTTTTAATAGGAATATAAATAAGCCCAGGAAATTCATCCGTCTGTCTGTCTGTCCGTTTATTACAGTGGGTTTTTTAGTCGCTTGTAGAGCTACACTGCTGAAGTAGGTAACACTACAAACCATGTTGAACTCTCACTACTAGGCAGGGTCTCTTCCCATTGCCACGATGGCCTAGTCCGGATTGGTGGATACTGAATAACTGGTAGTAAAGGTTGTATTAGCATCCGTGACCGACAACTTTACTTGCATGACTCCTTTTTAATTTTGTATATTAGGTGATAAGCCTGCTGGCCAGCTAAATTAGTTAAAGAAATATCTAGCCAATGCTCTAGCCATTTCTTTTCATTGCAGAAAATAATGGCGAGCTCCCGTAGTAGAACATTACTGAATTTAGCCCTCACGAATGACACACCTATGGACAACTGTATTGAAGGAGTCAATCGTGATGAGATGACAGTAAACAGTAGTGATCCATTCACTATTGAGCCTTGTAATGATCTGACCATTACTACAAGTTCTGAAAAACCTTCTGCCATAAAAATTCTTGAAGAGAAACGAGTAGTCCTGGATCCTAAATCCGGGCGTTTTGTTTTTACGGACCAGTATCAAGAAACCAATACTACAATACCAGTAAACGCCGTTTTGGATGAAAGAACGGGTCAATTTGTTTCAGCAAGCTTTGATGACTTAAACTTTACCTCAGGATCCGACTATTCACCAAGTGAATCTGAGGATCTTTCTTCTGAATCAAGTTTATCTGACAGTGGACCTTCATATTTATTATTGGACGAATCATCTGGAATAATCACAAAGAAGAAATCACGAAAAGGTCAGGGAAATGCTTTGAACTGGACTAGGAATCAAAGAAAACGTAAGAGAATGCAAGGTAAAGAATATTCATCGATCAAAAGAAGCAAAGAAGTGACTGGTGTCATGGAAAGACGAAAGGAAAGAACTTTAAAATCTCGTTGCTGTTCAGAAACATGCTCGAAAAAATTTGGTAAGCAATGCAACCAAGTATCAGAAGAAGACAGAAAGGAAATTTTTAAAACATTTTGGTCACTTTCATGGGACGAAAAAAAAGCGTATGTTGTTGCTATGGTATCGCATAAGCCAGTTGCTTTACAAACAACTGGTACTATTTCTCGACGGACAAACACTTTAACTTATAATTTGAAAATTTCTGGGGATACCAAAGTTGTTTGTAAAAAAATGTTTTTGAATACATTATCTCTAGGCGAATGGAGCGTGTCCAACTGGGTAACTAAAAATCCACATACAAGCGACATAGGGATGGTGAAAAAAAATAACCCAGTTAAACGTCAAAACAAAAAAAATATTGCTAAAGTTAATCATGTAAAGTCTTTTCTCGACAACCTACCAAAAATGCCGTCACATTATTGCCGACAGAGCACCAACAAACAATATATTGACGTTCAATATAGGACATGGGCAGAAGTATACACAGATTTCAAAAAATATTTAACAGAACATGATATCGATAATAGCGAAAAGGCGACGTACAAATGCTTTTTAGATGCAGTTCACAAGACTAATATAAGTATCTACAGACCAAAAAAAGATCAATGCGACGTTTGTTTTGCTTACAAAAACAAAAACGTCCCAGAAGATGAATATCAGCTACATATAAAAAGTAAAGAGCAAGCACGAAAAGAAAAAGCAAGCGATAAAGAACGATGTAAAAACGGTGATATTCAGATGTTCACTGTAGACTTGCAAGCAGTGCAAACCATCCCTCTGCTTTCAGCGGGTTCCAATTATTTTAAAACCAAACTGTGTGTACACCAATTTACCATCTACAATGAAAGTGACAAAAATGTTTCATGCTATGTCTGGCATGAAGCTGAAGGAGGCATGGACTCTAACATCTTTACTTCTTGTTTGATAGACTATTTGCAAAAACTAGAGGACAAATCACGGCCAATAGTCATTTATAGCGACGGGTGCTGTGCCCAAAACAGAAACACTACTCTGTCAAATGCATTGTTGTATTATGCAAAGGTCCATCATGCTGAGATACAACAAAAGTACCTAGTTGTAGGACACACACAAATGGAATGCGATTCCGTCCATGCCTCCATCGAACGCAAAAAGAAAGGAAAAGAGCTGTATGTGCCAGCTGATTTTAATACAGTAATTAAGCAATCCAGACTGTCACAACCGTACCAAGTTAATTATTTAAATTACAGCTTCTTTAAAGATTTTTCATCAATAAATTATTTAAAATCAATAAGGCCAGGCACTAAAAAAGGCGACCCATGCGTCGTGAATATACGAGCTCTGAAATACACAGTTGAAAATGAAGTACAGTACAAATTAAGTTTTGACGAAGAGTGGCAAAAATTGCCTCAACGTAAATTGCGGCAACAGTTGCAGACTAATGATGATATGACAACAATACCAAGCCTCTACAATGAGCGATTAACTATTACTAAAAGAAAATATGACGATCTACAAGACCTGAAACTGATGATCCCAGCTGATTATCATGATTTTTACGACAATTTGCCACACGATTAGTTTAGTGTCGTACTACCTATAATTTTTTTATAAATAAAAATTTGATAATATGTTCTTATTATTGTTTTATTCAATCATTTAAATTACTTTTACTTATTACTTTAAATTCAGATAAATGCAACAAACTTTTATCTTTTATGTCGAGTTACCAATATAAAGGTAACTGTGAGTGCAGCAAACTCGTATCTCAAAAATCGTGCCAAAACCTTAGAGTAAATAATTTTAATTGCTTTATGCTATCCACACACATAGCACAGGTATATTTCTAACTAACTGCATTAAACTTTTAACCAATATTCTGATATTTTACAAAATAAACGTTTTTTATTGTTTCCTGAACACTAGTCCGTCTTTTAGCACACACTCCTGCAATCTTGCTCTCATACTTGCGAAAACTTTCTGGTACAAATCTGGACTGATCGCTGCGATCTCACGTCGGATATTTTTTTGAAGAGACTGTATTGTTGTTGGCGAGTTGCAATAATCACGAGATTTGAGGTATCCCCTCAAGAAAAAATCGCTTGGCATCAGATCTGGTGACCTGGGCGGCCAGTTAATGTCACCAAAGCGGCTTATTAATTTTCCGGGAAAAACTTGTCGCATTTTGGCCATGGAGACCCTAGCGGTATGTGCCGTAGCCTCATCGTTCTGGAAATGTGTTCTGTTGTTGTATGCAAAGTGACGATGCAATTACGGGATGAAAAAAGTGTCCATCGTTTGGACACTTTTTTCATCCCGTAATTGCATCAATTTTTCCTCCTAACATAATCCTCTTCTTTCAATTGTTAGATAATTTAGAGCTTATAAGGATGAAACTTCATATGCTTTTTTATAGTTTTGTGAATAGACGTCTTTTTGATGCTGCGATCTTCCGGACAGATTTGTGATGATTTTGCATAATTTCTCTCTTTAAGCGATCGATATTTTCCGGAATCGCTACAGAAGTGGAAGGCCCAGGTCGAGGTTGACTTATGGTTGATCCGGTTTCTCTGAACTTCTGTACCCACGTCAAAATCAACTGATTCGATGGACCTTCTTTTATTCTCCGGATATCAAAGCGTGAACAAAAACGTCGCCTCGCTATAGTCACAGAATTACCGTTTGCGAAGTAAGCCTCTACCGCGAAAGCGCGGTGCGCTTCTGTCTACTTACTAATGGCTACTAAATATCCGCAACACTCACGCGTCGATTGCTACCCCGTTTCCCCCGCCCCCACCACTCTGACTCGCACAAACCTCATTCAAAGTGTAAAATCTGCCGGCGGACACCCTGTACATTATAATCCGAACATTATCATTACATTACAATGTTCACAATACACAAATTAATAAAGATGAGATTACGTCTATAACTATGAATATCTCCGTAGTTGCTTCGTTGGTGGCGACAAGCAAAATGTTCTCTGAAGACTATACACTCCTTTTTATATTGTCCGTTGGCCATAGTGTCAGAAAGAGCGCTGAGATAAGTCTCGGCGGGAAAGGGACGCGCGGTAGTAGTTCAGAAACTTAAAACCTCATCACTGCGACAACATCCGGCCGTCCTGCATACGCGTTCGCCCTCGAACAGCATTCAAACTTGATGTGGAGCTGAGAACAGGAGAGGACATTCTTGTAGCGTAATATAAAACTCCTAACATTTGATCACATCTAAAAATTTAGCATGGGCTGAAACATGACTTTAACTGAATGTGTTTTATCCCCAGCATTCCAGTTTTGTATCATCATGTTTCTTAACATTTGATCACATCTAAAAAGTTAGCATGGTCTGAAGCATGACTTGAACTGAATGTGTTTTATCCCCAGCATTCCAGTTTTGTATCGTCATGTTTCTTCAGTAGCTTTCATCACAGATTCCTATTGAATCGACAGCCTACTCTTCATATGCAAATCAAATGTTCGAAGCGATTACATTTAGTTCATATTACATAAAAAGCAAATTATATAACAGTGAAAATGATTCTTTAAGACTAGAGCAAATCTCTTGGGTACCTTATGACAACATCCGGTCGGTCTTACTGTACCGTGGCCTCGTTGATTGAGATCCAGGGTTTCATGTTCTCAGCGCAGGAAGTTCCATCGTAGCATTTAGAAGTCCTTTCGGCACCCCTCATGTCAGTGATTTTGTATCTGTCGTGCCATAAAACTGAAGTCACCTGGAAAGGTCCTTTAAAACGAAGCATTAACTTTCTGCTTTGACCATCATTGGAATAACTTGGAATCTTAACGACTAAATCTCCAACATTGTACACCGAAGCCGGTTTTCTTTTTGCGTAAAATAATGCTTTTTGTTTCTGTGCTTCTTTTTTTATATTGCTGTCTACTTTATTTCTTAAATCGGTGACATCAACCACATTGAGTTCAGAGTCGACATCATCAGTGATTCCGTCATTCTGCATTCTAAGTCTGTATCCGAAAAAAATCTCGCTTGGCACAGCAGCCGTAGTCTTATTAATCGTACTATTTATACCTTGCTGTATTTTTATTAAATGTTGATCCCATTTATTATTATCTGTATCTGCCCCCATTGCTCTTAATGCTTCTTAAATGGTTTGATTATAACGTTCAACTTGCCCGTTTGAACGTGGCATAGCTGTAGCGATAACGTGTGATCTAATATTTAAGTTTTTACAATAGTCTATAAATATTTTCCATGTGAAAGCACTGCCTTCATCACTTATTATTCTTTTAGGGGTACCAAATACCTTAAATATTTTATTGAGCTCGTTAACCACAAATTTACTTTTAGTATTCTTTACGGGTGAAATAAATACAAATTTAGTGAAAGAATCTACTATTACTAAAAGGTAACAATAATTTTGGGTTGACTTTACGAAAGGGCCTAAATGGTCTAAATGAAGTGTATGGAAGGGTCTCGAGTATTTCGGAATGGGATATAAAAACCCTGGCCTTTTTCCATGATTATTCTTATAATAAATGCAGTTTAAACAATTTTTGATATATTTAGATATAATTTTTTTAAAATGCGGAAACCAATATTTAGATCGAATTCTTTCAATAGTTTTATCTACTGCGAAATGCCCTATATCATCGTGATTACTTCTAATTATTCGCCACACACACTTTTTCGGTACCATCCATCTTCTTCCGTACTCCGTCCTACGATACACTTTATTACCTAACAACTCGTAGTTATTAAATATTTGTTTATTTTTATCGGCCTCCCCTGACCATAAAATTTCACGAATGGTACAAATACTTAGATCCTGAAGCTGAACTTATAACAGCCAGTCTCTTTCACTAATTGACATTACCGTTTTATTAGTTTGGGACTCATTTTCTTTTGTTACTGGATTTCTACTAAGTGCACCTACGTGTTGCATTTGAGACCCAGCTCTATGAACCACTTCAAAAGTAAATTCTTGCATTTGTAATACCCATCGACTAATTCGTGGTACTATCTCCTTTTCGTTTAAAGTATGACGTACGGCATTACAGTCTGTAGTTATTTTAAAATTCGTTCCTAAAAGGTAATGTCGAAATTTTTGTAACCCAACAATAATTGCTAATAACTCCAGTTCAAATAAAAGATACTTTTATAAAAAGTGTACTGGTTTTTCTCCGTTTTCGGTTAATTGAACTAATATGCATCCTAACCCATCACGACTAGCATCAGTATAAAGAATAATAGGTAATTTTGGATTGAAAATACTCAAAACCGCGTTTTTAATCAACTCCTTCTTAATAGTAGTTACTGCTAGATCCTGAAGATAACTCCATGCCCAAGGAGTATCTTTTTTTAATAAGTTAAAGGTTTGCATATTATAGCACAGTTTTTTATAAACTTCCGAAAATAATTAACGAGCCCTAAAAACTGTCTGAGTTGATGAATATTTTTAGGAGCCGGGTACTGTTCTTTGGCTTTTAGTTTTTTTGGGCTAGGTTGAATACCAATTTCAGAAATATTGTATCCTAAAAATGTGTGTTGATTTTTAAAAAAATTGCATTTTTCTAAATTTATAGTTAGGCCATTAGATTGTAATAAATTTAATACGGACTCTAGACAAACTATATTCTCTTCAATGGACTCCGTTCCAATTAATAAATCGTCCATAAAACAAACTACCCTACCAAAACGAAGATTTCCTAACACTGTATCCATTAATCTTTGGAAAACTGATGGTCCATTGCACAACCCAAATGGCATTTTCGTGAATTCAAAATGGCCATCGGGCGTAACAAAAGCGGTTTTATGAATACTATCCGATTTGACCGGAATTTGGTAGTACCCAATTTTTAAATAAAGGGATTTACAATCCCTTAACCTGTCTACAAGATCTTCAATTAAAGGCATTGGATATTTTTCTTTTACAGTTATTTTATTAATTGGCGGTAGTCAACACATAATCGCTTTTTCCCTGACGCGTTATCTACTAAAAGGACTGGACTTGCAAAAGCAGAGTTACTATTACGAATAATACCATTTTCCAAAAGCTCATTCGTTATTTCTCGGGTAGCCGCTCTCTGCGATTCAGACATTCTATAGGGTCGTTGATATACCGGTTTATTAGAGGTTAGTTCAATATCTAGTTCTACGCAATTCGTTTTACCCACGCTCCCTAAGTTTTCTGACAAACATTGACGGTACTTTGAAAAAAGATTATTTAGAACACTTTCATAATCCCCAGACAATACATTATAAGACTGAGTGTCAATTTTTGTGAGTATCAATTTTTGAGACATGTAAATCTGTAGATGGTTGAAAGGTTAATGTATCTCCGATACGTGTATACATTATGCTTTTATCTTCCGTGAAATTCCTACCTATTAAGATATCACATCCTGACAATTTGTTAATGACATACAATGTTACGACTAATTGCACGAAATCAACTCTGACGAAATCAATTGAAATGTTTGTAACTTGAACCGAAGAATAATCATCAAAGCCTACTAAATTAATAGCATCGTTTAAAGAAAACGGTTGGAGATTTAACTGCTTCACTAACTCTTCCGTAATCAAAGAACATTCACTACCCATATCGAAAAAACCTCACATTCAAATTTATCTAGCAAAACTTTTTTATAAAATATTTGTTTTGTTTTAGACACTGATACCATTTTTACTTCTATATCTTTTTCACCCTTCCACTTTTTATATCTACATGCTGCCGTTAAATGACGTGACTTACTACATACTGTGCATCGAGCATCTTTTACTGGACAACTATTTTTTTATGGCCAATTTCATCACAACCATAACATTTCAAACCATTATTTTTAGCGTTATTCGAAGGAGTCTCTAATTTATCAGCAATATTCGGTTTAGAATCAGAATTAAAAAATCTATAAGAATTAGATTTCCCTGGGATTGGTTTTTCAACTGGTGCGCAAGTTTTACTGTGTAAAAACGATGCCAGATCATCGCAATATCTAAAACTACCCGACTCAGCAGCCGTGCTTATATTTGGATCACCTATACATCCCACTATAGTTGACACGATATCCTGACTCTTAAATTTAAGTTGAAAATTATCAATTTTTCCTTTTTGTTGAAAGTAGAGCTCAAAGTGACTGATTAGGCAGTGGTTTCGAATTTATTAGTTGTTTAAGTAATATGTACATATTCCTTTTTATTTGAAAGGTATCCGACAAAGTATCACGCCATTGTTTCCATCGCCACGTTGTCCACTTAGTTTCATTTTTTTGTAAGGAATCGAGCCATGTTTTGGCGCTATTACGTAATTTCTGTAGTGCTTGGTACTTTATCATACTATCTGACCATCCAAACGCCCGCGCGTTAGCCTCTACTACGTTAATCCACATATCTACCTTATCTACTAACGGATCGAATTCAGGAATCACTGAAGATAGTACAACATTCTGACTCACGGTTGGTGATCCATCACGATATCTCCTTTTTCTCCGGCGTTTGTCCTAAAATTAATATTGAAAAATTTTAATAAATTGGGAGAAACTTATGTGCGAAACGTCTATTTAGGAGGTTTAATAAAAACTGAAAATGTTGAACGAGAAAGACCAAAAACTGGTATGGGGAAGAAACGGACTTGTTCACATAAATATTATATTAAATTAGGAAATAAAAACATACAGCTTTGCAGAGATGGCTTTGCGTCTATCCATGGAATATCTAAAAAGCGTGTAGATAACGTTTCCAAAGAGTATCGTGCCCCTACTGTAACTATACCAGCTAAATCTGAGCGTGGAAAACATCAAAACCGACCAAATCGTGTTGATTCTCATATAAGAAGTTTTCCGTGTCGCGAACATTACAGTAGAAATAAAAGCTCTCGTTATTATCTGTCTCCAGAGTTTAATATTAAAAGGATGTACGATTTATATTTAAAAAAGTATGAGCCTGGTCTTGAAGCACCTGCTAAGCTAAAAGTATCATTTGATTTTTACTACATGTACTTTGAACAAAATTTTAAATACAGCTTTGGGTCACCTCGCTCAGATACATGCAAGAAATGTGACGTTCTGGATATCAAATTGAAAGATAAGACATTGGACAGCGATGAAATCAAACAAATACAATTAGAAAAAAAACCTACACCAAGCAAAAGCCAACACATTTTTTGTTGATTTGAAAGAAAAGAGTAAACTTGCTATTACTAATGACGAGTGCGAGGTATTAACTTTTGATTTTCAGCAGAATATGCCATTACCGAAAATACCAGCAGGAGAAGCATTTAATAAATATCAACTTTGGGCATATAATTTTTGTATACATTCAGCGAAAACAGGAATCGCTCTCTTTTATTTATATGACGAAACCATAGCTCGAAAATCACCGAATGAAGTCATATCTTTCATAAATCACTATATAAATAACGTCTTGCCAAGCACAGTTAAAACACTGTATTTATTTTCCGATAATGCAGCAGCGCCAAATAAGAACTCGACTTTAGTTCAATATCTGTTTACTTTTACAAAGTGTTCATCAATTGAGATGATTGTTCATCGGTTTCCTGAACCAGGATACAGCTTCCTACCCTGTGATCGGTATTTCGGCGTAATAGAGAAGTTTAACAGAAAGAAGGATTATGTTTTCACTACATCAGAATATGCCGAATGTATTCAGCAAGCATCTAAGAACTTTAAAGTGAATGTGGAGCAAAGTATGATTTTTAACTTTAGCCAACATTTTGAAAAAGATTTCAAAAAAGTTGTGACAAACACAGAGAGGGTTCGTTTTAAAATTTCGCAATATCGAATTTTTCAAAACAGTAAAGACCATGCGCAAAATATAGCAGTGAGTGTTACAATAGGAACGCCTGTATTCGATTATTTTCCCATAATGAGGAATGCTCAAACCGAACTGTCCGTTCAGCCTCAGAAACAGTGGTATGATCAAGCATTGCCGTTGAAAAAGGCTAAATACAAAGATGTGATGCAGCTGGTAAAGAACTACGTTCCACCAAATAAGCTATATTTCTACAGGTTCCTTAAAAGTGAAGCTGTTGGACCGGCTGATGAAATTTCCAGCGAAGACGACGACGACCAATGGAAATGGAATGGAAATCGACCTTTAAATTGACTACTTTTCATAAAAACTTATTCATTTTTAATTTTCTTTTGATTGTTTTATCTTTCCATCACTGATTTCAAATTCTAGAATTAAAAAAATATATTATATTTTGAGTTTTATTATCTGTAGAATAAAATATGGGAGAATTTTTCTTGAATTTTAGTGCAAATCGGAGGCAGATCCCAACTTTAAAAAATCGTAATAACTCTAAAACTTAGTTATTTACTCTGAAAGTCATGGTAAAACATTGGAGTATGTGTATATAATATTTAGTAATATAGTTCTCTGTGAGTAATAAGGACTACTTATTATATGTTCAAAATTATACTTGACAGACAAATCTTTAAATATGCTTTTAAATTGTGGCCCTCCATCTGTACGTACAATATCAGGTATGCCGAATCTGGTAAATGTCTCTTTACATTTACTTATTATAGTTTCTTCTGTTAAATTAGTTACTCTAAATAATTCAATATATCTCGAGTAATAATTAACAATTATAATATACCAATAGTTATTATTATACTAAAATAAATCTATTCCCACCTTGTGCCATGCTCTATTGGGCACATCTTCTACTATCATTGCTTCTTTTAAATTATATCTTTCTTAAAAATTTTAATTGTAATGAATATCCTAACTACCAAACACTCTGCTTTGCCCTTTCCTTGCATTTGGATATACCTAACTGACCTTGATGAATATCTTGCAATAATAATTTTTGTAAAGTTACTAGAATAACTAATCTTGTGTTGTAAAGTAAATATCCACTCTTTACTGAAAAGCAATGTCTAAACTGACAATATATTTGTAAAAACTTAGGTACATCCTTTCTGTGTGGGCATCTCTTTTTAGTATATGTATTCGATAATTTGGCAACAAATCTTACATTTTCCTTGTTCTACTTTTATTTTATTTAATTTATGATCACCCACTCCTCCATAACCAATACTATTTATCTGTAGATCAACCTCTGGCATTGTGCAGGGCAAGGTTGAGCCAGATAATATATCCGTTATAACTATTTTTTCCTGGAACATAAACAATGTCATATGTGTATCGCATTAACTGTAATCGAAATCGCAGTAAACGAGGTGTTAAATCATCAAGAGGTTTTTATTGCAATATTTGCAACAAAGGTTTATGGTCTGTCTCTAAAGGAACTGTTATACCTGCAACATAGTCTCTGAATTTGTGAACAGCCCATGCTAAAGCTAAACATTTCTTTTCAATCTGAGCATAATTTTTATCTGTTCTATTTAATGTTCTACTTGCAAATGATACAACCTCCCTTTCACCTTTAGAATTTTCTTGAATAAACACTGCCCCCAATCCATAAGAACTACTATCTGCAGAAATAATTACTTTCTTGTTAGGATAATAATCTGGACCTTTTATAATATCCTTACATTTATTAATAACTATGCTTTTGTTAAAAATACGGTTTGACAGCGCTACAATGTCTGCTCCAGTATCAATAAAAAAAAAATAACTTTAGTAAAACCTTCTCCTAAAGACAGATGAACACATCTTCATTTGTTTATTCTTTTCCAGTCTCGACAACAACGAGAATAATGTCCTACTCTCTTGCATTTATACTCAGGCGTTATGATTGATTAGAGATTATCTTGGTACCCTCAAATAGAGCAAATATCTTCTAGAATCAGGAAATTTGTTTGGATGTTTAAGTCTCTCAGATATATAGTACTAAAGAATGACTCAGAAGACAAAAACTTTTCAAACAACCTTTTAAACAAAATATACATTGCTTTGGTACAATCGATCATAACATACTGCTTACCTGTATGGGGTGGTACATATAAAACACGCTTCCTCGAGGTTGAAAGAGCCCAGAGATCATTGCTAAAGGTCATGTCTTTCAAGAGCCGGCGTTTTTCTATTGAAAGCCTTTATCGAATAACTAACCTACTGTCAATTCGGAAATTATATATTGTTAATCTCATACTAAAGCGACATAAAACTCTAACTTATGACCCTAAATTAGCAATTAAAAGAAGAAAAACCACAGTCTTGCAAATCCCTAAAACAAGAACAGCTTTTGCTAGATTACAATACAACAGTCAATCAGCTTATCTTTATAATAAAATAAATAAAGAATTACAAATATACTCAAAAAATTATAATGAATGTAAACATACATTAAATAAATGGATAAAGATTCTAAACTATAACGATACTGAATTACTCTTGCGATCAAATAGGTAATTAATCATACTTAACACACACACACACACACACACACACCTTTTTAATGTTTAATTAGATATAGTTAAGACAAATGTATCAAGTAAATCAAATTATGTCAATAAAAAAACCGCAAACAATACATTTCTGAAAAAAACATGTCATCGAAGAGCAGAGTCTCCTGGTACAGGCATTGTCATGCTTAAAAGGGGACTCCAGTAATTAGTAATAAGTATTATCAGATAAGGTAATTGACTTTAGATGCTGGAAACTTCTCCCGCTTATGCATTGCACCACCACACCACCAACATTTTCTTCTACTATCCTTGTTCACCTTGGCGCCTATATTGCTTGCTATATTATTTATTTGCATTTCTTCCGCCTCACATCTCCACATCAACCTTGCTTCCACCCTTTGTTCTTCTGCTTGCATTGATAATTGTATTGCATCATTCAGACTCAGGTCTGGTATGAGTTGCAATCGTTTACTTAATTTACTATCTGCAACCCCTACTATTAAACGATCTCTTATCAACTCATCTCTTAATGTACCATAATTACAGGAGTGTCCTAAAATGTTTTGCTCTCGAACAAAGTCCTCTATCATTTCACCTTATTTTTGCTTTCTTATATTAAATTTATATCTTTCATGAACCACATTTTTCTTGGGTGTGAAATAATTATCAAAAGCTGAATGTACTTCAACATACTTTTCACAATTTTCCACTTTTAATTGTCTCACAAGCTGTTCTGCTTTTCCACCCAGTACGTATAAAAACAAATCAATTTTATCTTTATCGTTGCTCTCTACACCACTTAGACTTAAATAACGCTCAAATCTTTTATTTCAACTTTGCCAATCTTTGCTTTCAAATGAAAATTCTTCCGGCGGGCTGACATTTTGTATGGGTATCAAGTTTAACACGTTGCGACTCCTCCCTGCTTGTATTAGCCTCCATGTGTTTATAATTACACGCGCAAACGTGTGGACGCGTCGCAAGCGCTGGCGCAAACTTCCTTTGATTTGTGACAAAAAACCGACATTCGATCGGATCGAATACAAGCGTTTGCAAGTCAACACAAACCAAGGCAAACACTCTATCCACACGTTTTAGTTTGCTGCGGCTTGGCAAGCGTGCGAACGCCGCATAACATTATTTGAATGGCTTTAAGGATTCATGGTTTGATTAAATCCTTCCCGATAGTGTGAGGTTTCTTTTGTTTTGCTATCAACAAAGCTAATTCGAATGAATCTTTGACATGTTGTGATACACCTTTGTGATAACTTCCCGACTTATCTAATGTCATGCGTTTAAGTGATTCTGCTTTAGAAGAAAAAACTCTTTGGATTTCGAAGATAGAGTAGGATGTTGCTGGTTCAAATGCCTCTCAAGGCGACTGGGTCGCATACTATCATTACTTAAAACTTTCATACATATTACACACTGCGGCAATTGTAGCTCGTCTCTTTCTATGAAGGTAAATCCAAATTTAATATAATCATCCGAAAATTTCCTTTTTTTCGATGCCATTTCGCGTCTGAAACAATATAATAATAGTTTATTTCTATTCACGTGCTGCGTAACGTTGGAAATACAAGGTAAAATTTCAGCCCGAGATAGGCAACTCCCGTATAAAGTTGTCAATACACTTGCGAAAAAAAATAGGTAAGTAGGTATATCATGAAAAATTCCAATACAAATTGAAATTGAGAAAAAAATCCTCGCGAATTTTTGTACATATCGCCTTTATTTATTTATTAAGATACACCAACAATATTTACATTTATATATAATTATTCAGAGCCGTATTCAGTGTAGATCAAGAAAACGCGTTGCAGGAGTATTTAATTAACTGTTCCAGGATGTGCTATGGTCTAGATACGGTCGAGTGCAGAAAGCTTGCTTATGAGATGGCTGTTTACTATAAGTTGAATATTACAAAAAACTGGGAAGACAAAAAAATGGCAGGAATTGACTGGTTATATGGGTTTAGAAAACGACATAATGATTTAACTTTGAGAAATCCAGAACATTGCAGCTTAACACGGGCAACATCATTCAATCGTCACAATGTGAATGATTTTTTTAATAATTTGGAAGATGTTATGTAGCAATGTCCTAGTTTTGCAGATCGCAGTAGAGTATATTGTCTAGATGAAACTGGGACCACTACTGTCCAGAAACCCAAAAAAGTCATTGCAGCAAAGGGAGCTAGACAGCTAAATAAAATAACAAGCGCCGAGAGAGTTACACTCGTTACGTGTTGTGCAGTGGCTGCAACGAGATCAGCACTAGGTAGTACACCAGCAATGGTGTTTCCCAGAAAGCAATATAAGTCTTTCATGATTAACGGTGCACCAGTAGGTCCACGGGTGATGTGGGGCTCTCCCCGGCTGACGGCCGATGTCCCTCACAAAGAAGACGGCCGTGGGATCGGCCGAAACCACACTCCACAGTACCGCCTCCAAAAGACCCGCCCTGATGGGGCAGGTCCCTTCTCGGGTTAGGGGGGAGGCTCAGGAACATCCGAGTCTCGCTCCCCCAGACAGGACAAGGGGCGTGCAATGTCCGGTAGCGCGCTAACTACCAGACTGCCCCTCGTCAAGGACAGGAGACACGCAACTGTATCCCTCCTTCCCTAACGACTGTCTCGTGGGGACACATATGGGTTGCCCCACATATGCCCCTCTCCCCGATAGCCCCGGTGACCTTCCCTCCTCCCCGGTACACCGTTCCTTAGTCGCGACCCTGGCCACGGCCCCGCCGGAGCCCGACCACCCCACACACCGAACGGTGTGTGTT